AAAGTTTCTTCATGAACTTACCAACAACTTGCATAATGCCCGTGGCCGTTGCCGTTGAGAAGAGTGGCGCATCTGCCGTCACTTCGCAGGAGAAATTGCCGGACAGACCGAAGCCCACATTGCGGATGAGCACTTGCGTTGCATTTGAATTGGTCACCTGTGGAGACAAATGAAATATTGCTATCATTTTCACCATAATCACTAAAATTGAGGGAAAAAGCGGATAGATGCAGCTGCACTTACACATATACGTATATGGATGCGAGTGTGTAAGTGAGTGCATAACTAATTGGAAATGAGAATAAAAGAAATTAGTGGAAATAAATTGCTATTAAAAGCGGAAATTATGCACACACACACAAACAAACAAACAGTCAGCGACGACAAATCCCGTGCGGGTGAAGCCCCAGCTGAACCAACGGTATATTAAAATAGTTATTTGAAGGACACTAGCGCTGCGCAGCAAAAACTGAAATTCGAATTTTTGGCAAATAAACTTTTCGTCTGCTGAGCAAAATTGTAAAAGTCAAAAACAACAACAATCAATTTCAGCGTGAAAGCAAAGCCAAAACGTTTCAATGTAATGAAATGCGAATGACTAATTACAAGTCAAATTTCCATGCGAAAGTCTAAGCTAAAAGCGGTGAGCAGCGAGAATCGTAGAGAGGACAGACACTATTTTTTGGTAACTGTAAATTACACCGCGCCACAATTTCACCTGCTTTATTCACAAAAATCACTTAAGTTTATTAAATCATCTAAACCGCAATGCCAAGGAAAAAGCGAAAAAGTTCGTACAGTTTGCAATAGTTGAGGACTCCTAACTGTTTTTCGCCTCCACTTTGCGGTTTATTTGAGCGTTCTATTTGCGTAGAGTAACTGTGTGTGGTTACTGTTACTGTGCTGCAGTGTAACTATAGTTAATAACGGTGGAGGTTAGAATATTGCTTCTTCTTTGAGAACATTTTACACAAATATGGAAGTTCAATATTGAATTTAAAGTTGTGGTTTTGGATTTCAATACTGATACTTGTTTAAGTATCTGTTTCTATAATTTTTCAATTGTGTAAGCTCCATTTGGTAACGATTACGTTTTTTAGATGTCTAACTGATTTATGTAAGCATTTTACTTAAGGGGCATACCGAGTGTGTAATATTAAAAGTAATTCGATTTTTTTTATAAAAACGCTGGTCAACAATCAGAACTTGTGCAACTGCGAGCCAGGATAATAGGCCCTGAGTACGTAACTGAACTGTAAGATGTCGTCCTCACTACTGGCTCTTAACAAAGCCAGAACCTGGCGGGATTGCTGTCATTGATATTAACCACCTTAATAAATTTTTGGCGAGCTCAAAACGCTTCGTTGATCTATGTTAATCTGGTAATCTACTTCTGGCAGTTTATGGATAACACAAAGAACAATTATCTGTCCAAGTGAGATCCACCGATTTTTGATCAACTCTACGACCTTACCCTAACATATCCTAGGATATAAACAACACAATACAATTTTTAATTAAAATCTTAATGTAACCGCTTACTTCAATCAGCTTAAAAAGTTTATCTTTAAAAGCGCTTTTTTCGAAACTACAAAATTTCTTCAGTGATTACTTCACCTATAAAATGTCAATCTTAATATTTTTCAGCACCATTGTGCGGACAATATCTTTTAGTAAATAATTATTTATTATTGTTTCAAGACCGCAATCACTGCACAAAGGATAACCTTTTATTGTGTATTCTTCAAATATGTGTAAATGTGTTATACCCTTAATATTTTAAAACAAATTATACAGCAGTTCTTTTTAATTCTAAACCTGTTCTAAGAATAAGTTTCAAACATGTTTTCTAACAAGAATATTTGCAAAAACAGTTTCCGGTAAGATATTCAATAAAAAAGTTTCTTATCGTAATACAAGCTCTAGATAATCCCAATTCCATGATTCTAGTTATATTTACTGCTACCCAGATGAATCTTACAAAAAAAAGGAGCTTGCAAGTCATTCTGAACCGACTCCTAACTACTAAAGTATCAATTGTTAGGGTTAAGTTCAATGTATTATATGGCTCCTCATCTATACATAGTATACGACGCTACAATTTTTGTGAAATAAATTCGGATATCAAAAATTACTTATTTATTAAATATTTATTAAATTAAATATTGTTATAGTAAAGTACAATTCAATCCAAGAGTTTCGAGGCCATAAAACACATTTTGTGGATCTAACCAATATTGACTGGACAATGATTCCAAAGCCCACTTTATCAGCTGCAGTCGATATTTATATAGCTTAACAGATATCTGATAATTTCCATTTGGCAATGTAGATAGCATCTTAAACTTTCAAGTTTATGGACATTTTAGCAACTAGAAATAATATTAAAGAAATATTTAAATCTATATATATAAAAAAAAGTCTGTCAGTCTGTTAAAGCAGAAAAATTACCGCTGCCAAGCTGCTAATCTAAGTCCCAAACCTAATAACAAAAATAAAAAACCAGCCAACTAATTTGTTAGCAGTCAATGGTGAGCCAACCTTCGTTTGTTGTGGACTCATGGTGGCAAAACTGCCCGCATAAATGAGCGAACGGAGAACCCAAAAGAAGGGTACAAATCAACAAACAACGGTATACCTCATGACAGACGGATGTAAATGCAGTTGCCAGTGACACCAACGCATTGGCGCACCCTAGCGCCGTAGCGAAGTTGCCATACTTTTCGACAGACGCATTTTACAATATACGCTTGGTAATTTAAAGGCAAACCAGTGACAGAGAGAATGCGCAATGAGAAGGGTTATGCTAAAGGCTTAACCAACTAGGCAGTGGAATGAACAAACTTTTTCAATAATCTAGCTGCGCAAAGTTTGGCATTCTAACCGCGCGCCGCCCTTGTCGCCCCACGTTTGGTCACTGCGGGTTGCGTCGCCACGGCTGCGGTGCCATATTGATGGCGTGCACCTGCCGCACGCAGTTAAACGATGAACCGAAAAATATACTTTATACAGGTAATACTGGTTGCTACAGCGCGCAGTGCAACAATAAACAAACGCAGGCGATACCAACTTTGGCTGGGAAACGCTGCCGCATGCTGCTAAATTTAAGCGAAAAGTTGGCTTCACAAAAAGCTGAAATTATACATATTTTTGCTTGTGCCTCGCCACAGCCCATTCCCTTGTATGTATGTGTGTGTGCATGATACGGCTCTTCCGCGACGAAAAACCACGAATGCTGTACGAGTTAGCGGTGAATGTGCCGCTGTGGCACAATTTCGATACGACGCGCACGAACAGCTGCAGCTCTGGGTGTTATACGTATGTAAGAAATGCAACACCTGGTAATAAAGTCAAGCTAAAATGCTGGCTCACTTGCGACGAGCCAATATTCGTGTTTGTTTGCATCCCTGCTCGCTCGCTATGCTTTATGGTCGCTACAGCAGCGGCATGGCGAACTGTGAAAAATTTTGCAAACGCCTTGGGTGTTGGTGGTCGCAGCGGCACGCGTATGAGTTGCATGTACTGCCGCGAAAGTCGTACAAATATTGCATTCAAATGAAGGTTGGTTGTAAGCATCTGTATTAACTTTGTGACCCCTTTGGAAATTTACTTTTTGCATAACTGATCGTTCAACGGCATTGCCATATACTACTATACCGTCATATGCAAGTCTTCTCTGTATTTTTTTTTTCTTTGCCGGCATACATAAAATTTATGCAAAATTTAGGTCTCCATGTTTCCAATTACTAACATATATGAGAATGTATGCCAAATGAAAAAGTTACTCATACGTCATGTTGTATATTGTGAATGAGCATTGTTCGAGGCGAAGTAAAAACTTCAGTTTACTATAACATAACTGAACTTTTCTTAAACTATTAAATTAATAATTATCTAGCGACCATTTTCGTAAAAAAATCTGAAGACTTGACTATAAGAGTATACAGCCTAATTAAGTCATTTCTGAAACTTGATTTAAAATCTTCAATTTTATATCGCTTAAAACAGAAAACAAACTTACTATTAATAAATCGGAGAACGGCAATGGTGTGGTAGTGAAGTAAAACCCTAGATTATTCACTAATTTTACAATTCAGCTACTATTGCAGAGTAGTCTTGGCAGAAAATCTTCTAGCAAGCTTATATCCTAATTAAACAATAATTATCTATACATTAGATTTATAATCCATAAGTTCTTATAATTATTGTATTTACCCAATTTTATTCACACCACACCTATGTTATACGTGTCGAACCAATTTTTGTATATTTGTGCAAAATAAGCTCGACTTTTTCTGGTATACTATGTTTTAATTCATTTGCAATGCCCAATGAAAATACCAACAAAAAAAGCAAACCAAGGCAAACATATCGCAAAAAGATTAAATGGCTTATAGAAAAATGGAAAAAACTGCTGTTCACACACACATACGTATCACTGCGCTGAAATAACACCTGAAAAAGTATACAACATACATTCATCGATATCCACACAGCTACATTAAAATGTATATACATACATACTCGTACATATATAACGGCAGCTATATAGATAGGCCAGTATTTTTCCCCGTTATGTGGGAGTATCAAAAGCAGATAAATTCATTAATATTTCACTCAGATCTACACCCTCTCACACACATACGAAACCTACCTCGTAAACGAAATATACATATGTTTGTACATATTTACAAATTGCATATGTGTTGGTTCTGACATAAATATATACTCACATCGACGTGTATGCCGGGAAATGGAAAAACTTTCGTGTTCGGAAATTCACCAGGTGTGTAGCGATAGAACTCCAATTGACCGCGATAAAATTTGGCCGAATAGAGTGGCGTTCCTTCCAAATCGTAGAGACAGCGCACGATGGCATGCTGGCCGCGCCGCACCGCGGGTGGTTCGATGATTAAATTGACATTTCGCAGTGCGCCCTCAACGATGGCTGGTGTTGGTTGTTGTTGTCATCGTTGTTTGCATTGTGGAATTTTTTTCGTTCGTTTTTTCAACATTTTTTTTTCATTGTAGATAATACCGAGAAAGAGACAAACAAAAGTGGAAAATGAAGATTAATAGATGTATGAAAGTTGAAAAAGTATCGTTCTGGACAAATTTAAAAATTCAATGGAAAGAAGCGCAACAGCAAGTTTTTGTAATAAATTTTTATATTAAATAATATTTAATAAATATGTATTCACATGCATAGTAATAACGAAAAAAGCTTGCACTGCGCTTTTTGTTTTTGCAAAACCTTGTTTGGTATATAAGTACAATATATTATGAATACACACAAAACGTGTGTAGCATTTATTTCATACCTCTCAAATCAAAATTTGTCACTTTTTATCATTTAAAAAAATTTCAATCGCTGATAAGTGTATGTAATTCTCAATTCTTTCAGCGCCTGTAAAGCGACACGTCATTTACGTTTGTGAGTGATTAAAAAGCAAATGAGTTTATTTAACAGGCTTTTTTTTTAATTTATGTAATTTTATTGTGCTTTTCATTTAATATGTTGACAGGCATTAAGTCTGTCAAAGGATTAAATACTTGCAATAAAAATGTCGAATATGTTGTAGTACCTGCCCACTGATTTGGAAAACCCTTCAATATTTGTAATAATCTGTCAGTCTTTACAAGGTGATTTTTTGTATTTGTGCAATGAGCAGTATTTAGGTATGCCATTGACAAATTAAAAAGGTTTCAAAACTGCTGAAGTTTAACGAATGACGTATTGATCAACCATTTATTTTTACTTTATCTGCATTCCTATATATTATTTTAAACTCCTAAAAATAATAGTGACTTTAATTAACTGGCTTGTATAAGTATTCAACACTCTCTCTTCTCTTCGTGCATAAATGTAGGCAACTATTCTCTAAAAAATATTAGCTTGTGCCCATTTTGTAAACCAAAAGTTATTTAAATAATGGATACATAATAATTTCAAAACTCGTTTATCTCCAACGATATATTAGTAGTAAAACAAAAAGCCGAGTTAATAGCCATACCATTAAATTATATTCATATTATTTCTTCTTCAGATCTAAAATATAACGTTTATCTAAGCTCTTGTTTGAAATTCCTTTTTTATCGATTTATCGAGATGACAACCCTAAATTATCGTTTTATTAGACAGGTGGTAACTCGTTCAGAAACTTTCGAATTTCACCAAAACTTTTCTGGTTTCAATGAAAAATTTATAAATTTTAATTCGAAGCTGGACCTACGCAGGATACACTACAACGTATCTAATTGCTTAGTTCTGGATATAAGTAAGATATAAGGGAACATAGAAAGGTCGCTGGGGTAACAGAAAAAACAAAAAGGTTTTATTTTGCACGAAAAAGGGTATCATATTTTTCTCTTATATTTGAAAAGGTTCTCTTCTCTGCAATAAAGTAACTGAGTTCAGTGCTATATATAGTAACTAGAACATCCGACCACACGTTGTTAAGTTAAATACTACTATAGTAAACTATTCAATACAGTAAATATTTAATTATGAGTAATTGCGAAAATATTATTCCCGCTATGCGAATCCAAGGGGATTTTGAATTAATACAAATATTTGTCAATAGAAAACGAAATTAATTTTCCATTTGACATTTTACTCGAAATTGTAGACATTATTTTGAATTTTGAACACATGATTATTTCAGATTTATATATTTTTGTATTTATGCATTTTTTTGACTCTTAAAATTATTGAGTTATAAAATATCCTATCTTTTAAGTTGGATCAAACTTGGCACAGTGTATTGAATTTAATTAAAATTGCTTCTTTAGCTTAGGAGTTTACTACGGACAAAACGCAACACAAAATTTTTTATACATATAGATATGTATTCAAGAAAATTCAATATTTTAATTTAAACCTCTTGAGCACTCTTTTTCAGCTAGCGAACTTATAAACAGTTTTAACGAGTTATTATAAATGTATTTATTTCTGGCTCACTGATTTCTAAAAATAATGGGATTTCAACTAACTATCTTACAATTTTGTCATCTCTTTCAATTTTATTTCACAAATTTTTTTAAAAGGAAATATCTGGTAAGACATTCGCATCACCTGAAGTGAAAAATATTGTTCGATAGCCCAGTATTTTGTAGTATTCCTAAAAAGGGTTGTATATACATTTCTTTTACAAATTTGAAGTTTTCGTATTTCAAATATTTCCTTCATATAGCAAAGCAAATATAAATAATAAATTTATATACAAAAGGCTAGCTTGAAACAATAGCGCAAGAGTTCTTTAGGTGGAAGAAATCACAAAAATCCATTGAAATTTCAAACATTTATTTATGTTATTCATGGAAAATGGTTTATACATGTTAAACATCTTAAGCTGCAGCAGATTAAATGCGCAGTGTTCAGTGAGCATATTCCCAAAGAATAAAAATTAAAATTCAATTACTAGCAAAGAATTTGTGCCAGACGTAGAGCAAACGAGCAAATACGCAGAAATGTCATGGCCATTGGCAAAAGGCTCGTAAACAGCCACACTCCAGGGAGTAAAATAACATTTATATGCACATAAGTATGTGTGTGTGTATGCCTTTATAATTCGCCCCAACAATGCAAAACTTGCTGACGATATTCTTAAACGAATGAAAATGGAAAGCGCTTTGGCAGCAACAAAGCAAATACACGCTCTGAAAACGGCCCAAACCAAATGTTGGCAATAAAATGAAAGAAGCACACAAATGCAAAATGTTGGAACAGATATACAGCAACAAAGCGGGCATGAGCATACACATTGCACATATGTGCTTGACTGTGTGTGCAGGTATGCATATCTATTTATGCTCAAATAATTCAAGTGCATGATTATATTGTGTGAGCAAGGCTGCAACTCGAAATGTTTCGGGATTTGAATCTCAAAGGCAGCAGAGGCCAAGGCTTGACACGACGGCTGACTGAAAGGATCGGTGGATGGATAGATGGATGGAGCTGCGCGGCAGCTGTGCAACGGTCGGATTGAGCGCATTAAGCATATAAATGTCAGTAACTGATTTGCATGTGAGTACGCGAATTCGTAAATTTCAAACACAAGCACACACAACTCACACACACTGAGAGATACACAAAAGTGAGCGGGGCATCAGCATTCGTAAGATATGCATGTATGCGTGCATGCAAATGCAAAAATGTAACTGCAGAATGCAGCAAATGAAAGCAGAGCACAATAGCACACACACCCATCTACTTAGCGACAGACATACATCCATATACTTACATATATACAGACACATTTTGCAGCATATAAATGCGCTTTGACAGCCAAACAATGCTATTGATGCACTGCAGCGCTTCAACTTGGCAGCGATGTTCGCATTGCTCATACGCCCTGGCAGCCCCTCAACTCGCTTATGTGTTTACCATATATACTTGTATGTGTGCCTAAGGCACACAATATAAATGCAGATATTACAAGTGTATAAGTTACTGCGTGTCAGCTTGACAGTTTGTTCTACAATAACAACAATAGCAACAACAACAACAAAAGCAAATATTTTTCTTATATGCATGTCGAATAGTAGTAGCTCTATGTACATATGCAAATATATCAATATTTGTGTGTGGATGTGTGCACAATATGCACAGCGATTACAACACAAAGCCATGTGCTTGCTAAAATACGCGCGAACAAATGCCAAAAACGCAAAATGCTGGCACACACGTACGCACGGAATAACATACATACATATGTATAAGTATTCGCGCAAGTGTCATGTAATAGGTGCGTAATTTTGTCACACAAAAAATTAGATTAAGAAAAAAAGTACGAGGCATAACATTTTGTTGTTTAAAAAGCGAGCGCTCACTAAATTGTTGTTGGCACTTTTTAAATCGCATGCACGGAAAATGTATATCAAATTGCTTGATTAATAGCAACCGCATGTATGCTAAGTATCGGATTACATAAGCGTGGCAATCGTTATACTTTTTGAGAGGTTTCATATTTTTTTCGTATACATACGGAGCAATGGCGCTTGTTACAATTTATTTTGGGGTTTCGAATTTGGTTTGAAATTTATATATATATTTCACGATATATTTTTATATTTGAGAATATTTAAGTAAATTCTTGTATAATTTTGCAATACTCTAGATTTACTAAGTTATTTAAGAATATTTATTACATTTATTCAATGTTCTTTTCATAACAGTTTCATTAGGTTAGGCTCAGTTTCGCCGAATTATTAAAAATTAATCGAAATAATGAAGAGGTTATATCTACCTGAGAGTTTTAAAAAATTAGTTTGTTTTTTGCATATAGCATATTACATATGCATATTTAGAGTATATGTATTTGAAAATATTCTCCAAAAATTTGAAATTGATTCGGCAAATAGTTTCGGAGTTAGCATGATTTTCTTAATTTAGCGTAATCGTATTTCAAAACTTTAAACGCGTTTTTCTTGAAAATACTTTTTAGAGACGGTGAGCAAAATCTCTTGGAATTGGCCGAACCAATCGACTTGAAATTTTCTTCTAAGATATATATATATATACATATACTGGTCAAGTACTGATCGAAAAGATAAGATTTTTGATAATAATTTTGATTTTTCAAGCCACTGCTTTGGGTAGCCACCAGTTTGTCAAAAGTAAAAGTTTTGAAAAGTCTTCCCATCATAACCTGTTTTATTTATAGTAATAAAAAAATATATTTTGGTTTTTGGGTTTGAGATAATTTTAGGTAAACAAATTTCTTCACAGCAGACTTCTTTTTTCGAAGGTCCTCTTTGATATCGGCTATGGGACCAAGGGAATCCAAAATTTTTCGAAACGAACGGCCGCATATTAAAATACATTGCACTCTGTAAGTGTAGATTATATTTATTTACCTTTTAAATAAATTATTTAATTATTAACAAAATTAAAAAAAAAAACTTTTTTTTCTGACTTTCGCCTGACTAGACTAACCTATTAACGTA